CCAAAAAAAAAAAAAAAAAAAAAAAAAGAACAAATGAAGTTGAAATTCCTCCTTGTTTATTTTAATGTTTGGAACATTTTTGAGGTGATTTATGCCCTCCCCTCAGTATATTTTTCATTTTCTTATATTTATTTTAGAGTTAATTGGATTTCCAGGCTTTGCAGCCAGACACAGTAATTGATCTCTGAAAAGATGGATTTGTTGCTTTGCTGGGCCTGAGTTTGACAAGCTGAGGGGAAAGAAAAGAGGAATAGACACATGCACACACAACAAAAGTGGGTCAGAATTGGGTCCAGCTGGCACAGCGCCCCATGGCAGCTGCCAGGCCCGTGGAATAGATGCCACTCTGGACAGCATTTCTCCTCTAGCCTGACCTTGGCCTCAATTTTCAAATGCCCAGTGATTCTGGCTGCTGTACTGGAGACACCTTAAAGGAGCCCGATTTTCAGTGCCTCTGAATCTGAGGCACCTGAAAACATGGCCCCATTGCCTCCCTAGCCCCCTGCCCACCACCATATTTAAATACCCTCCACCCCGGAGAAGGCAGGAGTCAGCTTAACCTAAACACCCCTGACGTTAAACTGGCCTCCTCTCATTCCTGCCAGCACACCACGGTCTTACTTGTGACCATCTCTTCTGCGTGTGTGGGCCTTGCCATGACTGTTGGCAGCCGCCAGACAGCAACATAGCAATGGGCTCTCTGAAAACCATCCGAACCCTGGAGCTAGTGCAGAATGCAGCTGCCCGTTTGTGTCGCTGCTAGCTGAAGGGACCTGATAGCTGTTCTCTGTAGAGTAGAGTAGATCTTGCAGGCTCCTGGAGGCAATTCAAGGTGTCAGCGCATATCTCTAAACCACCACATGGCTGAGGTCCTGGCTACCTGAGAAATCACCGTGTGCCACTGGGAAAGTTGGCTCCCAGACCCTTTTCAGTGTTCGCTTGCTTTGCACTTCATTTCATATTCAGAATACATCACAGGGGCCAGCAGTATGTTAATATGTGTACAGCTGCCTGGAGAAGAGAGAAAACAAAATAGCAGCACTACTCAAAGAGAGGAGAAATCCCTTCTTTTCTTCCAAGAACTTGTGGAATGTTTGGCTTGACATCATATTCGCATTCAAGTCTGTCCTCCCAGTAATCTAGGGGAGGGGGATTACAATTCCCTTTATCTGTTACTGCTTTGTCCAAGGGGCAGCGTTTCCGTTGTTTGGATTTGGTCGGTGTGAATTGTTTTGTACATCCAAAAGGATACAGATATTGCATCTTACAAAATGGATAAAAAGAAATGCTTTTTCACACAATGCATACTTAGACTGTGGAACTCCCTGACACCGGAATTTATTGAGGCCAAAAATTTAGCACGGCTAAAAAAGGGGACTGGATATTTATGTGAATAACAAGACTTTGCAGTGTTATAACAGTTAACTGGGCTAGATGGACCATTAGTCTGACCCAGTATGGCCATTCTTACGTTCTTAATAGTTAATGCTATGATAAGTTTGGAAGGGATATTAAACTTTGTGCTTCGGGACTTAGGTCAGTCTCTATTAGAGATCAGGATGAAACCTAATAATGGGGGACAGATTATCTCAAAGCTGCTACTGTGGGTTCTCACATCTTCCTCTGAAACAGCTGGTGATGGTCACTTCCAGAGACAAGATACTGGACTAGGTGGACTGCAGGTCTGATCCACTCTGGCAGCTTTCTAAAGCTGGTGTGAGAAATATTGACGCAATCTTAGCTTGTGACTTCCCTAGTTGCTGAGGTCTGCGATGATGTTTATAGCAAGAGAGGCAAGGGTATATCTTCTGAATTGCAGCTAGCATCACAGTTAGCAAAGCAAGTTTATGTGTGGGACTATTCTGTATCATTCATTTTCCACCCTTATAACTACCATGTGCTGTATGCAGGAAGCAACTTGCAAATGGTTCGTGTACAAGGGTTAACCGGGGCTCGACCCTCTCCAGGGCGGCGGGGAGCCACACCGGCTCAATACATACAGTTATTGTTCGGAGGATTTAGTCTGTCCGCGGGGGTCTCCCTCGGCAGCCCTTGCAGCAACTGAAATAAACACGGTAAGCCCAGGCCCCAAGTCAGGGCGGGCAACAACAATACAAATAGTGTCAAGCCCAGGCCCTAGGTCAGGGCGGGGCAATGCAGAGTCAGGACTCAGGCCCTCAGGTAGGGCTGAGCAACAATAATACAAACAGTAGGGAGCCCAGGCCCTGGCTCAGGGCGGGGCAACAATGGGTCAGGGCTCAGGCCCTCAGGTGGGGCTGAGCAATAGCAATAGGCCCAAGCCTCCTCAGGCCTGGGAGAGGGGGAGACTGCCACCCACGAGTTGGGTGACAGAGGGGACGCAGGCCCTCCCACTCCACTGCGTCCCAGCCTGGGGCCCTACCATTGGCAGAAGACCCACTGCTGTCAGTGGGGATCCTGGCCGCAACACACTGACATGGGCTCTGGCAGGGCTGCAGCCAGACTAGGGTCGGCTGCCCCCGGGCTACTTCCAGATTCCCCCTCGGGTAGTACCTGGGTCAGGGTGTTGTCCTCTGGGGGTCCAGCACCATAGGTTCCTCTGGGTAGTGGGCGAGCGGCAGGCTCAGCAACTCCTCCGGGTAGCGAGCGCAGGGCAGGTCCGGCAACTCCTCTAGGTAGCGAGCGCAGGGCAGGCCCGGCCAGTCCTGGCGGCTGCCTTGGGCCGTGGAGTTTTCCCAGTCACGAGCTAGACTGGAGGCGTCTGGCCTCTCCGGCGGCTCGGGCCTTACTGAGCTCTGAGGGTGAGCCTTTATACTTCCGGGTCGCCGCCTGACCCTCTGAGGGGCGGGCTCTGAGCTCCCTAGCTCTGCCCACTCTGGCCTCCGGGGCGGAAGGAAGCCACACCGCCTCATTACAGTCAGCTGAAGTGAAACAGATACATACTCTCTGGCACACAGATCAATTGCAAATTGCATAGAAAAGGTCCAATTTGCTGCTGCCTTGCCTCACCATTTGCGCCTGTGCAAAGTGCGTGTCAAATGCGACCAGTCTCTTCAAGTAGCATTTCACATTCACTTGGGATGGATGTAGATGACTAATGCAGGGAGCAAGGCAATGGAGAACCAGGCCTGCTAGGTGCTTTATTGCAAAGAGAATGTATGCCGTCCCACACATGCATTATGTTACTTAGATGGTCATCATATATCCCTCCACCCTTACAGGAAGGAGGGAAGACAAGGCAGAGCCGTTATAATCCAGCCTTTATAAACTCCAGACTTTGGGGCTTTAAGGGTATTAAGGAAAATATGTCAGCAGGCTGGACTTCCTGCTTTTCAATTCCCATGGCAGTGTTCCTTATCACCAGGGTTTGGATCCAGTCCAGGCCTTTTAGATTGCACTTCATGCAAGAGACTTTTTACAATGGCAGGTCCCTCCTCACCCACAGATGTACGTTTTCTCTTTGTATCAGCTCCTCAGCCTGGCAAGGAAAAGGACTGCTGCTTCCACAACCTCACACACAAAAGATTTCCTGGTCTCGGCTAGGACCTTACTGCATCTGTTTTGTGTGATGGGGCTTAGATCAGGAAACAGAAGGCCTCTGTTTCCATCATGCAGGATCTCTAGTTGATCTTCAGCCAGCCTCAGGGATCAATCACTGTCCCCATCATCAGATAACATGACTAGAAAGGTAGTTTCCTTCTTTTCCTTGCCGCAGCACTCCCCTTCCTGCTATTTGATAGCACCGCTCCACATAAAAGGAACCAAGTGTGTAGGAGTCAAGCCAAGGTATTTTTTGCTATAAACAAACTCAGTTGCGTCTGGTGCTTCTACACCTGCTGGTGAACCAGGAACTCAGACCTTCTGTGCCCTTCCCAGCCACTCGGGGTATATCTACACAGCAATGTAAGCCTAGGGTTAGTGGCACTCGAGTCAGCTGACCCATGTCAGGGAACCCTGGGCTTGAGCATCTACACTGCATTTTAACCCTAGGGTAAGGATTCTCTGCCCTGTGGTCGAACCTAGGCTCTGCAGTGCACAGACTTCAATCAAAGTAACACTGCCCCACAGGCTCTGTTTTCCTTCCTCATCTCTTAAAGATAATAGCTCTCATGTCAGTCTATCCAGCTTTCAGGTGTTGTTCCCTTCTCCCCCTCCCCCCCCATCTTTTCTTTATAAGTGAACACGTTTAACACGGAGCCCATTTTCACTTTTCCTGAAAAGCACGAAGCGGTGTAAAGTTTGTTGGGCAAACGGTCTGGGGAAAGCTTCTGAATGATCCTTTCTGGTGGCCCTGGCTGACCTGAGGAGAAGGCCACATGGGATGGTATTGTAGGTTCAGTCATAGTGCACGGTTTGATAGCTTTGTTTTCTATCTCAGTTAGGCTCTCTCGTGGCAGGAAGCTGCAGCCTGGTGTTGGGCATGGTGTGGATCTGAACCGCCCCCACGAAAGCACTGGACTTGGTTGGGAATTTTTGATGGCATTTTTTTCCTATTGAAATATACCAATTTGCAGTCCTATTGAAGACACAGCCACTCAATAAGCTGTGCTAATTCTGTCCTAATGTTATTTTATTCAGTATAACAAAGTCTCCAGGGAGCCAATTTCCACCAGAACTTGTTAACAATTTATAACTATTGGCTTGATCATTTAAAAAAAAAGTAATTAAATTAGTCCCTGATCCAGAGTCCCTGAAGAAAAATATATTCTTCAAGAATGCAAGGATTATAAACAAACCTCACAGATCTTGTAAAAACAGAAAGAATGAGGGTAGGTGTATGCTGTCAGATAAGATCTAAAGCTGTTAGAAAATGAACCTTTGTGCCTTTCAGTGAAGGTTTTATTTGTCATTCTTAAAGGGGCCCTGCAAGTATGTTCTGATACAGAGCAGGAGAAATTCACCCCTGTCCTGAGGGGAAGCACCATTTAAACCCTCAGAATATTTGTACAGGAGTGTGGGGCCGAATCCCTCGTTGTAGTTACTATTCAGCTGTCAGGCTGGCTGCACCAAGGATGAATGTGACCCAGCTTCTTTTACTCCCCATCATTAGTTTAGGATGGGAATAAAGCTGTTTTGGGGATTTGGACCACCAGTGCCCATGGCTTTTCTAATGGAAATAAACATCCTTAGACGGTTTTGAAATCTCTCTTATGTATCTTCCCTTGGCAGTTTACTACTTTTTTCTAAACAGGAGTGGTGCTGATGGAGAGGACCTTGATGGGACATTTCGGTCTATCCCCGCATAAGTGCATGGGCTCCAGTGTCATCTGATGCTAGCAGAAATAATCCTAGGAGGGCAGCTGCCAGTCGTAACCCTCAGTCTCCTGACCCAACAGAGGGCCCTCTAGAGATCTGCATGTGGGAGTTGGGCCACAGGCAAGAGAAGTAGGACAAGGGGTGGATAAGCGCCACACATAGATTCATAAATTCCAAGGGCAGAAGGGACCAGCTTGATCATCTAGTCTGACTTCCTGGCCAGAGAACTGCCCCAAAATAGCTCCTAGAGCAGAATTTTTACAAACACATCCAATCTAGATATAAAAATGGTCAGTGATGGAGAAAATTTCACAACCCTTGGTAAGTTGTTCCAGTGGTTAATTACCCTCAATGCTAAAAATGTACGCCTTATTTCCAGTCTGAATTTGTCTAGCTAACTTCCAGTCATTGCATCATGTTACACTTTTCTCTGCTAGATCAAAGAGCCCATCTCCTTCACTGGAGATTTTCAAAAGGAGGCTGGATAGCCAGCTGTCTTGGATGGTTTAGACACAACAAACCCTGCATCATGGCTGGGGATTAGCCTGGGTGACCTCTGCGGTCCCTTCTAACCCTATGGGTCTGTGATTATTAAATATTTGTTCCCTGTGTAGATACTTAGACTGTGATCAAGTCACCCCTTAACCTTATCTTAGTGAAGCTAAATAGACTGAGCTCCATGAGTCTGTCACTATAAGGCAGGTTTTCTACTCCTTTAATCATTCCCGTAGCTCTTCTCTGACCCCTCTCCAATTTATCAACATCCTTTTTGAATTGAGGGCACCAGAACTGGGCACAGGATTCCAGCAGCGGTTGCTCCAGTGCCAACTACAGAAGGCAAAACAACCTCTCTCCTCCTATTCAAGATTCCCCTGTTTATGCATCCCAGGACTGCAGTGGGGAATCTGTTGAAAAGCTTGTGCCCCTGTGGCTGTGTTAAGTGTTGTGTGCCCTCTGACCATGCTGTGGTGAAGCTGGGTGGCTTTGAAGGATCAATTTGCTGCTTTGCCTGTAGATGCTTTGCAGCATGTTTGCATGGTGGATGTGGGGGAGGATAAGGTATCTGGGATCCCATAATAATCCTTTCCTCTTCCTCTGCCCCTTGAATAGCCCGGTGCTCTCCTTGGTTGGGAAACACTTGTATAGTCCTTGACTAGGTGTCTGAATTGCAGTGGGGTCAGACATGGGGTAGGGGGTGGGAGAGGAAGAGCCACAGAACAAGGAGTAATGGTCTCAAGTTGCAGTGGGGGTTGTCTAGGTTGGATATTAGGAAAATCTTTTTCACTAGGAGGGTGGTGAAGCACTGGAATGGGTTACCTAGGGAGGTGGTGGAATCTCCTTCCTTATAGGTTTTTAAGGTCAGGCTTGACAAAGCCCTGGCTGGGATGATTTAGTTGGGGATTGGTCCTGCTTTGAGCACGGGGTTGGACTAGATGACCACCTGAGGTCCCTTCCAACCCTGATATTCTATGATTCTATGTGTCTCACTCTTTCCTCGTCCCATTGCAGGAAGCCTTCCTTCCTTCTCTAGTCTCATTAATCCCTTTCTGCCTTTTCCAGGGTATCCGAGCCACTCCGCCACCTGCAGCCATTGCAAGGACTGCCAGCTCCATCCCTGCCACCACAGATCACTTCCCAAAGAGCGTCCACCCGCAGGGAATCAAGTCGCAACACGGAGCCAGAGCTTGATTTGCTCTTTTGCTGGCCTGTAGAAATCCCTGCCCACATACTGGGGAAGATTGTTCCAAACAGGCATCCCTTGTCACAGCCACAGCTTTTGCATCCAGTTATTTGCAGGTTCAGTTCTTGCCCCTTAATTACGGTGATCGTTTCCGTAGCAGCGAAACAACACTGAACTAGGTGCTACACAATAGATAAGCCTTAAGATATAATACTTGCCTGAAAAAGCTAAGTATTAGTAGCACCTAGAATTCTCAGTCAAGTTCAGGGCCCCGTTGTACCAGCACTATACACATACAGTAAGAGAGAGGCCCTGCCCTGAAGAGCTTACAGTCAAAACAGACAACACAGAGAGAACTTGTGACTTTCCCTAGGAAAATGGCAGAGCTGGGAGTGAAACCCAGCCCCTCTCCCATGTCTAACTACCTGAGGTGTGGGAGTAGACAGGTCATTAGTCACCTGGGAGACATTCATTGTCCCTTGCAAGTCATTGCAGGTGATAATGAAGAGGCTGGATTGAAGTTAGTATGAAAACACAGCAGGCAGAAAACATGGTCACCGGCTAGTTGTATATACATGCAGCACTGAAAATAGAACTTATGGGACTGGGTTCAAAAAACACAGGGCACTACGCAATCTTCTAAAGGGAATGCTCTTCTACACTGAGGGAGTGCAAGGAGCCTGCACGCATGTAGGTAGGCCCAGCATATTGCATCCAACAGAGGGCAGCAGTGTGCAGATCACAGAAGTCAATGTCTCACAGGTCAACCGCCATAAAAAAGCGTTCAGTCCCCAAAAATGGCTCTCTTGCTATTTGCATGAGTAATGACCTCGCCATTATTCAGTTCCTCATTTCCATCCCAGCAGGGGTTTTCACTTCCCCACCCAATGCACATCAATGGGAGAAGGGGGGGTCACAGACGTGTATCGCTTCCGCCGAATTGGTTTCCTAATTGATGGTCACATTTTAACAGGCAATTGTGAAGAATTCTGGTGGAAAAAAGAGCAGAAAAAATAGGTGCCTTCAGTTTGCAGGCTGTTAACTGTAATTAGCCTGGTTTCTGAGATGTAATTATCTCGCAATCTCAAAGCAAACACCCTGGAGGAAATTGCACAGTTAAAGACAGCATGGCATTAAAAATAAATTATTAGCGTGTTGCCCGCTACTGCCACAGATATGTCAGCATTTCAGCCTTAACCCCCTGATTTGGGGGAGCTGAAATCACCCAGCTGTGAGGCTCCAAGCGACAC